AGGGGAGCTCACACCAATGCTGCTGCTGTCAGTCGCCTGTGAGTCGAATATCTTTTTATGTAAAGGCGGCCCCTCGGCATCACCAGCCCGTGTCAATGGCAATACTCCGTGTTCGGCGAATGCCTTTTGTATGCTCTTTGACATCACCTGTCGCAAGGGCGTTACAGCGCTCATCTTACTACGTGGACCGCCTACTTTTAGGTAGCGATTAATGCTTTCCAAATGTGGCTTTGCTGGTGATGCGCCAGCGGTATTTGTCACTGCGGCAGCGACTGCGGGCAGAGCTGGGCTGTGATTGTCTGATTCGGCGCCAGTGTGATAAATACTCGAGACCTGGCCACCAGAGGCATTAAAAGTACGCTCGGTATGCTTGGTGCAAAGCAGCTCCGCATGCACTGGCGTCGAGGTTGTGCGCACTAGTTGCCCCTTAGGTCTGACAATGGCATCCAAACTCCGACGCATTGAGCTACTATTGATTGATGATATATTCTTCAAGGAGGAAATGCTGTCACTAACAAACTCCTCGTGTTTCAGCTTACTCTTGGCTTTCCAACGCAGATTAATTATGGACATCGGTGTCTCGTGGAATTCGCCGTTTTGACGGCGCTGTGGGGAAGTCTGCGTAGAAATTGTCACTTTGGCTAAGTCTTTCTGCATGGTGGTCACTGTGTCACAGGTCTGATCGCAACAACCCTGTTCAGGATAACAACATATTGGGACGGTTGTGTGAGTACATTTGGAGAAATTTTGCAATTCATCAATGCGATTGTAGACCTGTAGGGACATAAATACGTTGTATTATAAGCTGTAAGGCTTCGCCTCCTGAAAATCATATTTATTTATATAGGTATGGTAACCTTAGTGCAATTCCGGCAGCGCAGCGGCAGATGATGTTGCTCAACGTGCGCCAACATCTCTGCGTACATGTCCCGTTGCAGCGGCATTGGTTTACGTTCGCAAAGCGGGCAGAAGAGAAATATTTTGCTAGTTTCGCTTTCTTTCAAAGGATCCCCTAAATTGGTAGGCTCTAAGTTTCCGTCCACTTGATTTTTAACCTTGGGTTTCTCCACAATGATGGCATGTGTTTTTATTTCATGTTTGTAACGGCACTCGGCACAACAAAAGACTTTTTTACACACTCCACAAATAACCTTTAAATGAACTTTGGCTAGAACTCGATTTAATAAAAATATTCATTTTATTTTTACTTACATCGCTGTGTACTTTCATAGTTAATTATGCACGAAAAATAAATAAAAAATCTTTGATAATCGTATATCTTTTCTTAAAACACTTAAATCAATAAATATAAAAAATGTATTCAACCACACTTGAACGACATGGACATTGTTAGACGAAATCAACTTTAGCTGAATTAACGGATTTTCAGTAGTACTTGGTGACTGTGTTGTTGTGCACTAACATCTGCGGTATTTAACCTGCTAAATACCAATAAGTGGAAACTGATAAAGCAAAATACAAAAGTGATGACAACTTCTGTAGAAAACAGCTTTGGTAATTTTACACGGCGTCTGTATACTAAAAATAAGTTAGTCTGACATGTACCTAAAAAGTCCAGGCAAGGCTCTCTGCATAATGACCTGAGTTGCTGGAAAATAACTTTCTTAAAATCCTATCAGATCTCTTTTTCAAGATATCTTTAAAAGAAGATCACATGATTGTTCAGGTATGAGGTTTAGTTAGACAGCTAAAAACAATGAAATTTTGTGGGCATACATATATACTCAACAATCAAACAAAGTCTACTATACAAACCATCGATACGGTAGTCTATGAGTGATATCTCCGATATGACTGATTCTTCATCTAACAGCTGCATGGGAGCTATATCTTACAAAGCACGGATCATAGTGATTAAATCGGTAGACCTTTGATGATTGTTAAGTATTTAGCAGGGATGGTAATCATTATGAGAAAAATAATTTAAATCAGCATTTAATCATTATTTTATGAGATAATAATTATTGTTGAGTTTTATTATATGATTATTTATAAAATTGAAAAGGCCATAAAGGCGCAAAATTTTGGGACTTATTCCTTTTATTAGGGTGGTATAACTTTTGAGTTTTTCGAATGATCATTATTCTTAAGTGAAAAAATAAGACTCAATAATAATTATTATCTTTGAGTGAAAAAATAAAAATCATAAAATAGTCTATTTTTGAGCGAAAAAATGAAACTTAAATGTTAATTATTTTTAATTTTTATTAATTAAACTCGAAAATTAAAAATCATTGTAAACTACAATAGGACCAAGGCATGTTTAATAAGGTAGAAGTGACAACTAGCTCGAGCTCTCTTGTAGCTAGTTATAATGTCAAAAAACTGTAAACAAACAAATTAACCTTTTGAGGTGCGAGGGCTATGTTTGCTACAAATTAGTATCAATTGAAACGCATCAGCATAAATGCATACATATGTACGTTTACTAATTTTAAGAATTACTTCAATATACCTTCAAAAAATTTTAATTGCATTCGCATTTTATATGCACATATACATATGGACAGAAACGAATGCCTCATAAAGGAAACCACGCAAATAAAATGAAAGAAATGTTTTATGGAACTGTTTTACAAAAATTTTTGTTTTTATTCGCCCAATGCCTTTGCGCCTTTAGTTTTTTTATTTTAATATTTAATTCCAAAGAACATCCGGCACTTATAAAAAATTTATTCAACGTTTTCTTGTAAATTTATATGTAGATTAACTCTAACAATTTCTTGATAAAATTTTTGCAATGACAGATCTCTTTCCCGTTTAAGTGGGCCAGTAATAAAATCATGCTGAAATGACTTTCACAGACACGGGAAGAATATTCCAATTGAACAACGCAGCTGTTCTCACAACGAAGTCTTCTAACTTCGCAACTAGACGTCTTTAAGTATAGCACCACTTTAACGCCTTGGCTCTTGCCACGCTCGTAGTTCCTGCTCCTTTTCATTTTTGTATATGTATGTATGTATCTATAAATGCATGTGGTCGAAAAACAAAAAAAAAATCACACAATTCAAACTATCTCAAAGCACACAATTAAATTTTTAAATGAAAATTAGAAAATGCAACTTGAAAAGGGTTAAAAGTTATTCATGATTTGACATTATAGTCGGTGTTCAAAAGAGAGAAATGTCAAAATCACTTCTACCTTATTTAGTATGCCTTGCAAGGAACAGTCAGAAAAACCCAATGGCGAACAAATTGAGCGAGCGGTTTTATAGACCAAGAGCTCATGACCAAAAAACCCATCATACTTCAGATCGATTGAAATTTTTTGTGAGCTTAAAGCTTAAACAGACAGCAGAGTTGATCCGGATTAACTCGGACTTAATCCGGATCAACTGCAGTTAATTCCCGAGTTGATCCGGATCAACGCTGCCGTCTGTTTGTGCTTTTAGCTTGTTAATATATAAATCGATATTCGGAGGACTGGCTGCTGAACAGCGGTCTTGATTATGCGTTTTTAGCGGTTAAAGATGTCAGGCAACCTTGAATTCATTTTATACGCACTGTAAATAAAATTCTATCAAAATTTCATGTCATCTGAAGTATGTTGACTTATAAGTGCAAAAATGCACTTTCAACATGGGCTGGCAGTACTTTAAGGCCATCAGAATTGGCAGCCAACTTTGAATTCATTTTATATACACTGTAAATAAAATTTTATCAAAATTTCAAGTCATCTGAAGTATGTTGACTTATCGGTGCAACAATGCACTTTCATCATGGGCTGGCAGTACTTTAAAGGTACGACCGCACTAAGCGACACGGCGCGACACTTTTTGGTATACCGCACTGAAACTGCAGCGGCGCGACACTTTGCTGCAATTTTTTTTTTATTTATTTACATCAAAACCTTCAAACAAGATGGATGCCAGTGACGCTGATGTAATGCTAATGCCTTTTATTTTTATTTTCCTTGGCGAATTCTCCTCGAATTTAATGTTTCTTTACATAAAATTTTCTTGAATGAAATGCATGTGAATATTCACTCACAATTCGAAATCAATTTCTTCAAATTAAAAATATATTACGAAATGTTATGTCGCTCCGCTGGGTATACCGCACTATGCGGCACCGGAACTGCGTGACACCACGCGACGCGACATTTTTGCCTAGTTGATCAACTTTGCCGCGCAGCGTCGCGTCGCGTAGCTCCGCTGCAGCGTAGAGTGGTATGCTCTATAACAGGCATGCCCAACGCCGGCAGAACTCCATAAGCAAGTGCCCTGCGTTGGCAGAATTCAATAGGCAAGTGCCCTGCGCTGGGCACGGCTGCTCTATAAGAATATATGCAAAGAATATTTTGCCGCGCTGTGTAGTGTCGTGTCGCGTCGCCTAGTGCGGTCGTACCTTAAGACCACCATTTTCTATACACTGCAAATAAAATTCTATCTAAATTTCAAGTCATCTGAAATATGTTGAGTAATCGGTTTTCATCATATATGTAATACTTCTATATTGGCAGTAAGCTAGATTCTCAATGTGTAAGCATTTCGTAATCAAAGCGAGACAGTCTAGTACCGTTTTTGTCAATGTATTGTGTACGTGAGTGCCGTTTTTGGATGAGTGTTGTGTACATGTTTATTTATAAACGTATGTGTTCATTTTCTTTCAAACGTGTTTATTGATATATCTGTACTGTAGTGTTTTCGGACGGTACTAGCTCTTACTGCCAATATAGTACATATTACATAGTATTACATGCTTTTCATAGACATCTTCAATAGTTTAAAACGCATAATCAAGACCGCTGTTCAGCAGCCAGCCCTCCGGATCTCGATTTATATATTAACAAGCTAAGCTCACAAAAAATTTCAATCGATCTGAAGTATGATGAGTTTTTTGATCATGAGCTCTCCGTCTATTACCATTAAATGTTTTTATCACGATTTTACCCCATGATACTAAAAAGAAGGTAGTTCCATTGTCACTTTTCGTCGCCATATTAACAACCTGACAATTAAGTAGATTGTGACATTTCGTGCTACCGTATCCAATATCTAAAATGCTCCAAATTTTGTTATTAATTTTTTTGTTTATTTACAAACATTTTGCTCTAAGAATCGAAATTTGAATAAGCAAAGGTATTTTGTTGGATACGCCTAGGTTATTTGTACAATAATTTTGGGCTAATGTGTCCAAACGATTAACCCAAAGCGAAAAATTTTAACACACACGTGAGGTCAACCAATTAAACGTAAGTTTAAAATAAAGATTTAAAATTTTCAGATATAAATTTATGAATAAATATTTTTTTTTGTATCATGATTGAAGTTTTTTATTGCAGCGGTCGCCTTCGATAGGCAATGGCAAACCTCAGATATTACTAGCAGGAAAGATAAGCATAAACAAAATTTGCCGTTAGGAATCGCACCACAAACTGGAGGAAAAGCTCGACAAACACGAGGGCCAAATATTTTTTTTTTATTGAACCATAATTTTTCATGTGTAATTTTAAGTCATACAAAAGGCTATTTTTTTCTATGAAAAAATAATTTATTGTACGCAAATTCAATTCCTTTGAAAAAAGACTAGCGCCAACAATGCGTGTCGTCTGGTTTTGCTTTAAGCTGATTGAGGGCTGTTTAGGCTGCCTCTGCATGGGAACACAAATCGAAGGATTTCTAAATGTGGCAGTCTCGCAGGATTTATATCTTTACATTACCCTCTTTTCGGTATCCACATGCATCAGTTTTTTTGGTTGCTTAAATCTTTGCATGGAAAACGATCCATCGTTTATACGGGAAGTGATTTGGAACGGTTTCGCTTGCTTTGGCTACATTCTTGCATCAATACTAACCATGTATCACGCCGAAAAGGATTTATATTTAATTTACTTGTCCGACCTAGAGATAATCGAGGATGAGACTACGCACTCGCTTTTTAATTACTCCAAGTTTCAAGCCATATCTGCCATTGTCACCGGAGTTGTTCATTTGTTGCATTCGGTGCTCGCCGCTGACATATTATTTACAGATATCGCTGTCGCTAAAGCAGAGGAAAACGGTATTGAAGGGAAGAATCGATTTACTCTGTACTTCGGAGGTTTGTGGATTCATACACGCCTAATGAAATGGAAATGGTTTCGACGATTTGAGAGCAAAATGCTTACATCAGATATTGAATGATTAGGTTAAAATGAATAATGCGTCTATATGAGTGAAAGACTGATTTTTGTAAGTAATTTCTGCATTTTCTGTAAATTTAATTTCTTATTAACTCGTTAATCATATAAGTAAGTATATGTATTTTACATTAACGCATAAACGAAATACAACTTTTAACTCTTTCTGACCATGTCTATATAAGAATATATGGAACTAACAATAGTTTATAGTAATTTAGTAAACTAACCAATTTAAACAGATCGTCCCACGACAGTCGGGTCTACGTAACCTGAGCGGCCCAGATTCATATCTGTTCGAGGACTGTCAGTTCAGCTTCATTCCCGAAACCTCGTTCCTACGACAGTCGGGTCTACGTAAACGGAACGACCCAGATTCATATCTGGCCAAGGACTGTCACTTTTCAGCATCTTTCCACAAATGTTCTTCGGGGAATCAGTATGCTGTTACAACAACTATATTTTCCGGGGTAAGTATTTGATTGAGAACATTTGCTTGGATATATTCTGTCCATGTCTGCAGTTGGATATTAAATACTTAACTAAATGCATTGACCATACCAACTATTCGCGCGTTTGAATATGTATATTGTTTACGTATGCAAGTAGAATGTGGTAAACTAAGGGGATAGTTGATGTATGAGAGTACTACGATAAAAAATAAAACTAAATTAAACACTACAAGTAGATTAGTCGAGTTCGATCACTTCGACGACTCCTTTAGAAACGGGGTTTGGAGCAGCGCTGGCATTCTTACTAGAACTCGCTTCTTTTTCCGCAGAGGACTTCTGTAGAAATTCGCTGATGAGAGCATTTTTTGTTGGTTGTGATATTTGTTGTCCACGCGCCACAGACATTAGAAGAGGCACCCGCTTTTTAACCTTTGTTGTTGCTTCTGCTGGTGAAGGAGTTGTTGTTGTGGTTATTTCCGCTATTGGTTTGCTTTCATCAGAAGTTGTTTTTAAATCTATTGTTGTCTGTGCCGTTTTTACAGTTTTAGGAGATTTAAGCGTATCCGTCTTCGCTGTTAGAACTTTTGTGAACTGAGTTATTTCAAGATTACTTCTTACCTTTTTCTCCTTTTTAGGATGGCCGGCCGATTTATTTTTTCCTTTTTTTGTTTTGGACTCTACTTCGATCTCTCCTTCCTTTTCCTCATTACCAACTACTTCTGTCGTTTCTTTTGCAGTTGCTTCTTTTTCAACTTCAATCTCAGCCCGTGTACTTTCATCCGTTCCGACTCTTGGTTGCAATGTGTACTTCCAAGTGTTACGTAAACCCAGATTTTCCAAATCCATCTTTTTTAATACATCGGCAGATACAACCCAGCACAAACGTTTTTTATTTTTCTTCTTATTATTTTGTAAAACCTTTACCGAATCTGTAATTGTCCATTCTGCAAAATCGTCAATTTTTTCTCGTACTATCGATTTGATGGGTCCCCGAACTTCTCCGTTCTTTATAGATTCCTCATTGGCTTCCAAGAACGCTATAAATTCTTTTATTAGGAAGTTTTTGGAATGTTGATTGCCGTGTACTAGGCACACTAAGTCCTTCAGCATTCGATCGGTTAATTTGATGGGTTTCACCTTTTCAACCGTTTTCTCGTTTCCGTTGGATGTTGGAGAACCAAGTTCACTCTTTTCGGGTACTTCAGGATCTTCCAGTAGTGGTGGACGTTCGCATAACATTGCACGGATGTTTAAGGTATCCCAGATAATTTTCGGACACAACGCGGGTTGATTGCCGTTTTCATCTATCCAAATACAGCCAATAAGGCGTGGCTTGATTTTTTCCGTTTTCTTTTTCATCTCTTGTGCAAACTCTTGTTGCAGCACTCGCAGTTTAGCCTTTTGTGCCTCACGTGTATTTGCATCGAGAACCTCATCTTCATTTTGCAACTCTTCTTCGCTGAGATGGCCATGTGGAACAAACCATTCATTATCAACCTCATAGTCTTCGTCCTCCGACTCTTTCTCCTTTTCGTCATCACTGCCATCTAAGGATTCGCCAGGCTCTTCTTCTTCCCACTCAAGGTCAGAGTCGACTTCATAGTCAAAATGTTTCTAAATAAAAATACAAGGAAAAAATAGTTTAGTTTCAGAAGTTGTTGCTATTGTTATCAGTTCCAGTAAACAATGAAGCGGTCTCTTTAAATGTACTAATATCAAGCATTACTTTTTCTACGTCTAAATATTTCTACATAAAAATATCCAAACTGTGAAATTTCTTATGAATTTTACCTAGCATAATTCAAACTACAAAATTTAATCGCAAACAAAACTGACCGTATCTTGTACAAATGGGCGCCTTGGCTTTATAACGCTCGTTCTTTTCCTCCAAGTACCGTAATAGGGTGGTCTACGATTCTCATGGAATTTATAAAATTTGGCCCGAAAGGTTTCAATGGGAGCGTGTGTTTCCTCAACAATTGCCAATCCTGCACGATCAAGATCATCATCTGAAAAGGTAATAATTAATTGGCGAGTTCTTTATAACTAAGTAAGTATAATAACCTATGATTTGAATGTCGTCATCAGATGCTTTCGTATCTACTGATATGCGTCTCCATCTACCAGGGTTTACTTTGCCATTTTTCAATTCCGCTAGGTACAAATCTTGGCTTTTGGGCAAGCTGTCCATGCACGCATCAACGCATGAGTCTAGTTGCTGCTTTCGCTCTGGGGATAATTGTTTGCGACGTACAGGTGCCAACTTCATATCACCTTTCACTTCAAATGGACGAAAGGCGAGTGTTTCAGGATCACAACCATCATCCTGATACGCCTGCTGCTGGCCTGCATCACCATCTCCATTTGATATGCATTTTGTTTTGAAGAACTTTTGAAAAGCTTCCGCCTCCTTCTTGGCTTTCAAATCTGCGCCTTCCTTGCGTTTACGCTCCTCTTCTTTTTTACGTAACTCTTCTTCCTTTGCTTCATTCCGCTTCCGCTTTTCTTCGTTTTTGGCCTCCTGATCTGCCAGACGCTTCCTTTCCTTGTCCTCTCGCTCTTTACGTTTCTGTTCGTCACGTTCTTCGCGTTCTTTGCGCTTTTGATCATCCCTTTCTTCCCGTTCTTTGCGTCGCTGCTCCTCACGTTCTTCTCGTTCTCGTTTTTTTGCCAACTCTTTGGCTTCTTTCTCGCGCTGTTTTTGCGTTCTTTCTTCTTGCAACCGGCGCTCTTTTTCTTCACGCGCTTTGCGCCGCTGTTCCATTAATTTAATTTGCTTAGGTGTTAGGTTTTTCTTCAGCGCCGTATTTGAATCTTCCTTAGTTATTTTTGGGGTGCCTCGAACTTTATGAGCGCTTTCCTCAGCATACGATTTTGATTCCTCATTGACCGTAGACGAATTTTCAGAATCTGAAGAACTCGCGATAACAACAGAGATATCTGCGGATTCTTTATCGGTAACTTTTGCCTGGAAATCTTCCGTTGACGATGTGATCTTTTCTATTGATTGTTTTCCTTCTGTTGCCGTAGGTTCAATCTTAGTTGCGGAACCCGAAATTACATCCTTATCACTTTTTACTGTAGAACTATTTGAATCATGGCTCTGGACTTTGTCTTTGCTAGATTGTACAGACGCAGGTTTCGAAGAATTAGATTCTTCACGTTTATTGGCAACATTATCTCCATCTTGAGATTGAACTACATGATCTGATGCGCCCCTTTTTGAAGCAATCGTAATAGAACTACATCTGCTGTCTAATTCTGAGTCAAGAACATCAGTTTCGATTCCGCCAATTTCTAGTACTAAAACATTGGAATTCACTTCCGATCCTGAATTGCTTACTTCTTCGACAGTGGTAGTGCACACTTTATTCGAATCCAAATTGATTACCCCTTCAGCCTGAATTAAAATAAAGCAAATAATACATTAAAGTTATCTATATTACAAATCTTAACAATCATAATCAAGTTATTAATGTAAATGCGAAAGTCTATAGACTTTCGTACAAAACAACATTTTGAGAAAAAATTAGCTAGGATCTTTCTATATTCAGCTAAAAATATTGTGTGAAGGGCGATCGGACACGATAACTACATATAAATCAAAGTGTAATAAACATAATAGGACAAATCGCACGTTTAATAATATTGAGATGTAATTCAAAATTTACGTTTTTGGAGATTTCTACATAAAATTAATGGGTTCCGTAAGACAAGTCGAAAATAAAAATGTCGAAATTTCAAATTTTTTTAAATCTCGAAATGTTTTGCCGAAACGGAAAATGTCGAAATCGTATCCTTTCGAAATGAAAAAGGTCGAAAAAGCTGCAATACGTCGAAAATGACAAAAAAAAAGCAGAAAAAGTTGAATGTTTGAAAAAAATAAAAATTAAGTGTTCAGAGTAGGAGTAGCTTTTCAAAAGTTCTAGAGTTCCTAAGAAGGAAAAAGAAAGTTCTGCAAAATTACGCCGAAAAAAACTTTTTTTTCGAATAAGTGGTCGAGGTTAAATTTTTGAAAAAATTAAAATTATCTATGTGTTTGTTTCTTAACATATACTAAATGTGTCATTTCGAATATCGGTAGTTCCCTTACATTTTGGGTTTTTTTAAATATGTTAGTTTTTTCAATATAGTAAAAGTTTTGAAATGTTAATTTACGTTCGTTAATACCAAGTTATCTCTTTAATTATACAACTATTAAATACTAGCTTTTACCCCTTTTCCATCAAAAAATCCGGTTTAAGCAATATTCGAAAAATCAAGATTTCGAAAAAAAAACCGTCTATAGATTTCAAAAAAAAAAAAACGGTGGAAACCAGTTAGGAAAAACCGAGTCAATTATCCTACTGCCTACACCTCTTTTTTCATATCAAAATCCCATTGGTATATTTCATATTTTATTCGACGTGTCATTTAAATTTATTTTATCTTTTTGAAAAGATGGCAACCCTCCAAAAATATTTTTACAATAATGCATCTTGTTTATCTCGTTTGATACC